TTTTTTCTTTCTTTAATATTTTCCCTTTTTTTACCTTCAATTTTTTATGATTTAGTATTATTGGTAATTGTCTACAGATCATTTTAAAAAACATGGACCTATTAAAGGAGATCGAGATGACTGGAATAGAAAGAAGTACGACTGTATGGAAAGAGAAAAGGAAGGTAGGTCGTACGAACCAATGGAAGTACTAAGAGAGAGAAACGTGGATATTGATAGACATAGAGAGAGTAGATTTCGCGGAGATGAAGCAGATCGGTCACTATGGCCGTACGAAGCAGAGAACATGCTTCGGGATGGAAATGAGTCCTTAGATTCCTATCCCAATAGTCAAGATTTAGATCTTGATTATGAAGAGAAAACGTACTACAGGGATGACAGTATTGAGAGGGATATCATGGAAGGTCCTTTTCGTCCTTCATCAAAATTCAAGCATAGGTAGCATTAATATTAACATTATTAATAAAAGTAGTATTGACGTTAACAATGCGCACTAAACGAATTATATTATTTCAAAAGAAAAAATAGGCTCAGTACAAGAAGAGACAGACAATGGGAAAAGGAAAGAGAACCTTTGGATCTAGATAGACATGGACACGTTCGAAGAACGGATAAATTACCTCCACCTAGAGGTCGTTCTCCATTACGGTCGCGAAGATCACCACGGAGATCACACGACTGCTTTAGACGTGAATCTAGATCGCGATCGAAATCATGGTCAAGATCAAGATCACGATCTAGGTCAAGATCTAGATCCAGATCGCGGTCTCGATCAACGTCCAGGTCCCGGTCGATGATTCATTCAAGATCGAGATCTAGATCAGGATCTCGATCAAGAACTAGGTCTACCTCGGGGTCCAGAATGAGAAGTCCGGATCATTTACGAATGACGGAACGATTACGATCTTCCAGGTGAATTTCTAAAAATAATTTATAGTAATTAGTCATTGTTGGATTGTTGGTAAGTTTATCTTACTATCGATTCAGATCACCTTCCATGGGACGAGGTAGAGTCAGCGAAAGTTCAAGGGAAAGGAAGGATGAACACGATAATATGAAACTATTAGATAGCTGCACCGAAAGAGGTAGACGAATAGAAACGATCGTGCAGTCCGTATCCGGACTACCTAGGGACTCGACTGTGTTAGACTCGGAAATGCACATCGGTGACAATATGGAGACAGTTGCAACAAGTTTCCAATATTCGGCTGAAAACGAAGTTGGAAACGAATATTACTATACAGAGAATAACTTGACTTATCCACCGTGCATTGATGACTCAACGGCGAGTTCTCCGAAACGCCTATCCCTCGACGATAGGTAATACCTATAGAAATCGTGTTCGGAATCCCAACCCCACCTACCCTTCCTTTCCACTGTTTCCTGAACCATTATAGATTGACTGATCCCACTATTTATAAATATTTATATTTTATGTAATATTATGTACATATTTAGATCTTTTGGTTAATTTTAGGCTAGAACTTGAACTGGGAATTAAGAAGCAACAGGATGGAGCAGGAATATCAAATGATTACGGAGAAAACTTTAATTCGAATGTATGTTATCCATCACCACCTGGACAACAGCAGCAAATGTTATACCGTCAACAACCTACTGTTTTACAAGTATGTGACATTTAAATTAATCAATGACAATGATAATCTTTAGCTTAACAAGTTTTACAGGTTATGTTTGTCTTCTTCAGTATTATAATTGGTATAATATTGCTTCATTTTCATTTCTTTATATTTTTGGCTCATTTATCTTTCCTTTTATTTAATGATATCGTAAAGATGTTAAAAAGGAATAAATAGTGTATTTTAACGTAAATGTATCAAACAGGTGGGCAATGTGTTGCAAGTAGTACCTGCAGATTTCAATGGTGTCCCAGCAACGCACAGAGAGCCGACCAACTCCTCCTCAGCACCAATTGTACGAGGTTCCAGTCAAGTAGTTCGCGTAGGTAATGTTCTTCAGGTTGTGCCGACGTCCTTGGATTGGAGCGGTGGACAGCCTTCTTCAGTTGATCAATCAGGAGGGATGATGTATTCCACGACAGTCCCTCAATCTTCTCCGGTTCCCTCAGTACCTATATCTGTACCTGTTCCAGTTCCTGTCCCCATGCCTGTACCAGCCGTTCCATCTGCTATGAACTCATCGACACCAGTTTCCACTTTGTCCCCAGTTTCATTGCCTCTTTCCGTTCCCGTTCCTGTTCCTGTCCCTGGCCCTGCTCCTGTGCCACTTCCTGTGACGCAAACGACGTTCCCCAGAGCAGAAGTGACACCGCAGAGTAAATATATGAGAATTTACTTTTTCAAATTTTTTATTACAAACGTCATTAAATAATGTAAATAATTATTTAAATGATTAAAATTTGTAGAAGTACCTGTTCTGCCGGTTTATAATTACGAAGTTATCTTGGAGACTCGTAGAAAAGAACAAGAGGAACGTAAGCGACTGCGTGAGATTAGGAGAAAGGAAAAAGAACGTAGGCGAATCGAACGAATTAATCGTCGCGCTCTTCAATTGTTAGAGAAGAGTAACATGCGTCAGTCAGAAAACGCAAATCAGCAGAAGAATTCAAACCTGGATCCATCTGTTTTAAAAGCTCTTCGGGAAAGTGAAGAGCAAGGCGATGCAGAGGAACAACAAACTTCCTCTGCTATTTTTGAGAAGGAGGAGGAAATGCCGGTAGTCGCATCTTCTGCTTCCACAGAAGAAGAGGAGGTACCTGTTGAGGAGGACGAGGAAGAAGAGGAAGAGGAGGAGGCTGAGGTGGAATATGACGAAGAAGAAGAAGAAGAGGCGGATGACGACGAAGAGGAAGAAGAAGAGGACGATGAAAAGTCACGGTTAAATAAATTGAAAAGCGAAATCGATGAAACTACAACGGTAACAGCGATAGATGAAACAACTAAGGTCCAAATCGAAACAGAATCTAAAGGATGGCCGGAGTTACCCCCGCCGCCTTTGAAAGGAATTTTAGTCGCATCAGGTTTCAGGTATACAGTTGTTCATATCTCTATTTGACAAGGTAAACAACACAGTTTACTTCATTTTTCAAATATAAATGTACATAAATCTAAATATATTTTAGAAGGACCTCGGTTCCTAATGGCAATTTGGATGACCTTTCTACTCCTGAAAATGATAACGGAGACAACACGGACAAAGAGGATATAGAAATAGATAAAAATGAGTCCAGCAAAGACGAAGCTAGTGAGAACAAGTTAAGCAAATTGAAAAATCAAATGAAGAAAACTAAATTAGCGAAATTAGGAAAACGGAAACAGAGGAGTAAAAAATCTGTCCAATTCGCGGATGGAATCAAACCTGGAGAAGGTACTAGTCCTAGTGGCGGTGAAGGGGATATGCCTTCCCCTCCACCACCCACTACTGTCACTCGAGGTGGAATTCGTGACGTTCGAAGGTCCAGTTCTAGAAAGAGTAGAAAACAAGAGAAAAGAACACGACCTCCAAAAGCAAAGAAAAAAGTGAAGGTTAGCCATTTCTTAGCTTATAAATTTAATTTCTTTGTTATCTATAAGAGACGAAGAAAGAATTAAACCGTGAGCTTTTCATTCTAATGTAACAAATCAACGTTTCTTTAATTGTGTTTATTAGGTGAAAATCATAAAACTGAAGAAGCCCCGTGTCACTCCATTAACGGCGATGATGATGAATGATTCGGACGAATTAGATGATCGTTCTCCGCCACCGCCACCTCCAGGGTCTCCTCCACCGCCGCATCTTTGGCCAAGTTATCTTTCCGCTTACAACGCTAACAACCGTACTAATGAAGCTCAAACAACAGCTGCTGCAATTTCGAACAATGTTCAAGCTCCTCCACCACCTACACCGCTGCCTCTCTTAGTTCCTCCTCCTCCTTTGAATTACACGATACAACCTTGCAGCAAGGCGTAAGGCCTTTATGTATTTTAGATAACATTATTCTATGCTAAAGTGTAACAATCGTAGGTGTTAAACTTGTAAAGCGAACGTTATATGAACTCTTACTTCTCAGTGAAGTCACAAAGAATGAGAAAGAGAAGAATGTGCGTGGCCTTGATATAAAGGCTTTGTGAGATCGTTGAAATTTTGCACAGGACTTAGACGCAAAAAATAATGTATTATTATTAGTAACAAATTCATCAACAGTTTGTTTTTTGTAAATAGCTTCATTTTTCGTGACACAATTATTAGTCGCTCTCGAAATGAAAAGAATTCGCGTACGACTAGTGTTCCATTGCGTCCACGTCCCTGCAACGCGTTGCGTTTATATATTTTTCGATACGAAGAAAGAAATAGTCGAGGAAAAAAGGAGAGTGAGATACAGTGGAAAATTGTAACACATGAGACAAGTACAATTTATCCGAAAAGATCAATTGTTAACAACAATTATATTATTGAAGATGTAAGGTAACATAAGATATGAATTTATCATTGTATATTTTATTTCTATAGTGTATCGGTTATTTTTGATTTAGGCATAATTTTAACAAAAAAAGGGGTCTTGTGCAGTTTCTTCTTTCTTTTTTGAGTTAATTACTTTTAATTATTCGAGCTCATTTTATTAATGAGATAATGAAATTTGTACATATATACGCGAGGAAATAGATGTAATTAGACCAAATTTCATATTAACCGACGAATAAGGCAAATAAACAAGAAAATTAAGCTGAACTTGGTTAACTATTCTCTCTGAATTTCTAACATTTATTGTACATATCTCGGTAGATCATTGTTTAGCGTGCGAAGATCGTAATTTCTTTTTATGCTGTAAACAAATCTTTCCCTTTTTGGATTAAATGATGTTTCTCATCTTTAATAAGGAAATGTTAACTGCCCGTAATATCTGAATTACTACAATAACTTTTGAAAAAGTATCGATTTGTAACAAATAAACGTAATTCTTTTAATAAGGCTTGTGCGTTCATTTCAAAATACATACGTTATCGACTGCGGTTACAATAGATACATTCAGTAGAACTGATACATGTCAAAACAAGAAGAATAGATAAATGTTGTACAATTTTTATGATCGCGTCAAAGTACATTGATTATTCTCAAGTCTTTCGATGATCAACTACTGAGGTGTTCTACTGAAATTTTTTAAGGAGGAAACTTTGTGATTTATATTGTGATTTATATAAAAGAAAAAAAATGAAAGTGGCCGTAATTGGAGGCGGAATAATTGGTTTGACAACAGCCTTACAATTAACTCGTGAATTACGTAACTCTGAAATCACAGTTTTCGCTTCTGATTTTAATAATACTGTCAGTCATGTGGCTGCTGGAATATTTAGAGTTGGTTCATCATATTCTGGACCAACTGAAGAAATAACAAGGTTCATATGAAAGACAAATCTTGTACTTGTTTCTACCTAAGTTTTTATATTGTGTAATTAAGTGCTTCTTTTAGAAACTGGCTGCGAGACTCGTACGCATATTATGATGATATCCGAAAATCTCATGAAGCTTCTTTCGCCGGTGTAACCGCTATTTCCGGTTACTTATTCGCAAATTCCTCTCCGGAAACCGTAAAGGTTTATTCTATACTTTAAAATGTATCTTTTTATTACGATTACATTTTAAAACAAATGATGATAATAAATTAAAAATAGTTTTTATTAGAAAAGAAATTAGTATTTGTTAATTTTTTCTTTTTCTTAATAGAATCAGTGGATGGAAAATTTAGTACCAATATATAGGAGAGTCACGGATGAAGAATTTCAGTTAGTCGAGGGTAACTGGAAATATGGGTCATTTTTTAGTACTCTTCTCACCGAATGCAAATTACATCTCCCATGGGCACGCAAGAAGTAACGAATTTACTGTATTGATTATAATCTTTCACGATTGTTATTAAAGAAATACTTATTTTCTAGATTAGAAGAAAATGGAATCAGTTTAGCAGTAAAAGAATTTAATTCTCTGAGGGAACTTGTTCCCGATTGGAATTTAATTATGAATTGTACAGGTCTGGGCGCACGATCTTTATGCAACGATAGACGTCTCGTTTCTATGCGTGGTCAAGTACTTAAAGTATGTTCTTTTTAATGTAGAATTTATTTCATGAAGGAACAAAGTCCAATTTACAAATTTAAAAAAAATAGGTAAAGGCACCATGGATAAAAACGTTCTTCTATGGCGAGTTGGACACTTACGTTATACCTGGTTTTAATGGCACAGTTACTCTAGGTGGTTCACGAAATTTTGATTCCGAAAATGTGAAACTTTGTCCGCATGAATCTGCAGCGATACGCGAGAGATGCGAAAACCTCCTTCCAGGCCTTAAGAAAGCAGAAGTTATAAAAGAAGAAGTTGGCTTGAGACCATATAGAGCAAATAACGTCAGAGTGGAAGTTGAACACATCGTAAATGGGTTTTCTAAAGCTATTGTTAGTTTTAATGAAATATTGTTTATTTCAATGAATTGCGTTTCGTTATCATTAATGAAACGCCCTGTATTATAGGTAGTGCATAATTACGGTCATGGAGGTTACGGAGTATGTACTGCACCTGGAACTGCTAAGTATGCCATTAAGTTGGCAAAAGAAATGCATAAATCTTCTATTGCAAAATTATGATCGACGAATATTACTTACCTTAACACGCTGACGCCGGCGCCGATATTTATGGTTTTCTCCGTGGGGCGGCGCTCGAATTCACTGTCTGCTTCGTGGGGCGGCGCTGGGTCACTACCTATTTTGTGAAATACATGTGTCATCGCCGCCCCTCGGGACAGACACGTATGACTCGCCGATGGGGCACGCCGCCTCACGGAACAGACACGTGCGACACGCCGATGGGTCGCGCCGGCATCAATGTGTTAATATTGATACGACATTAATCTCTCATAATTATATTCCTTGAAATTTTACCATAATTACTCACGAATACATAGTTTATTACTAATGAATTTACATAAAAAATCATTAATACAATCTAATACTGCGTGGTATCGTCAATGTTAATTTTCGAACTGATAAATCTCGAACAAAAATAAATAATCTTTCCATTATAAATACATGACATTTGGAGTCACTATCAGTATATTATCTTCATTTCTCTTTTCATAGTGTACTGCTAAGCAGAAAACTATATAAAGAACATTATCTTAAACCACCTATCAACATTTCTACGCTCTGAAGAATAGCGAAGCTCTATAAAGCGTGTTCATTCGCGTTATCTTCCGATCAAAAAACCTTGCTCGTGTACAATGCATATTAGTGGAGACTGTAATGCATCGTATAAAAGTTGTTTAACAAACTTGGAAACATCGTTTTGTCGCTGTTTTATCAAGTGTTTGCTAAACACATTAAATCGTGAATCTCACGGTAATGAAAGCCGTCGAATTCCCATTTTCTTTCTACTATTTCTTGCCAGATTTCACGTTCTTTCGTGGTGGAGCTCCCCATCGAAGTGCACTGCTGTCCACTGTTAAACGAGGTCTCTTGTACTGGCTGCTTTTAATATGTTCCTCGACTAATTTAGGTGTTACGCAGATTACATGTTGTCCCTTCCAATATTTGACCATGTTCATACTTTGCAATGTCGATATTATATCCGTCTGCGATATACTTGTCATCTGACTGTATATTATATTGTATATTTTTTAACTTTGTTATGTACGTAATTTAACCGACTTTCCTATACAATTTTATCGAAAGTTACCTCAGATCTTTAATACTAAGAGTACCTCGGAAATCCCGCAGAATTTCCAAAAGAATCCAGCTCCAGTAACTCCTGTATGATAATTTTCCTAAGTCACTCAACGGCTTTTCGGGACTACCAACTGTTTGTTCTATTCTGCTTAATTCGTAGCTAAAAGCGATTAAAAGTTTTCCATATCCTTGCCTTTGAAAAGGCGGTAAAGTTAAAATGCAAGCAACATTATTACCATCGGGTGATTCTTTTTCCTGAAAGCAGATAAAACATGGTAAAAAAAAATAATTTGCAGGTTATAGATGTAACCATATATAGAAAGAGGAAAATACCTTTGAAAAATAACCAACTAAATGAGCTCCATGTTTATCAACTTCACACAAGATATAAAAAAGAAATGGTTCTACATCAAAGTAAAGGGTTTTGTGATCCAAAAAAAGTTTTGCGAGCAAACATAAATTTTGACAATAAATTTTATGCTCTCTACCATCCACTTCCCAAATGCTTAATGTGCCTTTACGATATATTTCTTTGCCAACTGGTTGCCTGTGTGTACATTCACTCTGAAAATAAAAAATTTCAGTTCTAATTTATTTATTTTCATAAAAAATTAAATAGCTTAGTATTAACATTTTTTACCATATGGTATCTATAAGTTTTTTCAAGGCGCATGTATTTAAGGCAGTATTCACAAATCCATAGCTTTGGTTGCTTGCCATACTCTTCTGGATATGGACTAAAGTACCATGTATCAATTTCATATTTTCCTAAAAGTAAACTTTTGAAAATAATGAAACCTTTTTCACATATTGGGTATAATACTGTAAGATATGTATTGATGCTTACCGATTTGAATTTTGTCAATGTATTTGACTTTTGTTATTGCTTCGTGTTCCTTTTCTAAAGCGGCAGTTGTAGGATCCATTTCAGCGTATGTCTGTAATAGAAAATAACAAAATTTGTTATAAACACACATCCAAAATTTGATAGATACACTCATAAATATGTGCCTTTTGAATATGATTAATTTCATCATGTCTCCTTTTCTGATTTCTTGTAATTTTACGATCTGAAGAATCTGCTAGCAAGTCAGTACTAGAGTTTCTATCTCCACTTTTCCAAGTTCTATCACTCATGTCAAACCTGCTTGACATAATTCTGTCTCTGGGCACCCATTCATCCAATCTCCTATTGTGTCCTTCATAATGTACATAATATTCATAATGACTTTCACTCTCATTATACCTGGTTTGTATAATCTCTGCTGGATCTGAATACAATTAAAAAATCTTTTCTTTGATATTATACACATAACTCATTAACCTTACATAATTTACAACTTGCAAAATAACAAGCCAAATATTTCAAGTATCATATGAAGACTACAAGAAAATAATACAATAAATTACATACTCCATTTTTTACAGGAGGATTTTAAAGCTAAATATGTATTTTTGTATGCATAATTTTAAAAATATTTCAGTTTTAGCTATTTTATAATAAAGCATTTCTTTTTGATCATAAAATGATATCAAAATCAAAAATTCAACAAAAGTACATTTGTCGTATTTCTTTCTTGTCCTCTTCCTATACATACATCGTCCGTAATGTTTTCAAAACAAGTATAGTTTATTCGGGTGAAGCCGGTAATACAAACACAAATACGAAGCGGCGAAGAAAGCGCGCAGATAATCATCCGTTAACACTAGATGTTTCTTCATACGTAATAATAGATAAAAAGATTATAATCGTCTGATAATATATTTACGCCAGGAGTTGTCGGATCTTCGAACCAGGTAGTGTTCGCCTATATCAAGAGGCAATTCTTCGAGACTATCCGCGTCATCGCCAGATCCCTTCCCGCCATTCGTCAACGTGTTCTCACGCTTTTCTTGCTTCACCATTGTTTCCTTCGGTCCTACGATACAGTTCTCTTTATTTCTTTGTTCCGATTCGGCCATTTTCCAAATTAAAAGATCACTGATTGTTGAAATGATACACGTCGCTGTGAAATAACCGAAAATAGATGAACATTGCACTTGCTGACGCAACGCGAATATGGTCATAAAATTCTTCGCAGCGTATATCTTTATTATGTATATTATGTGAACTGTATGTATTGTGAACTGGAGTAGGCCTGTGGCTCCCTCTAGCATGAAGAATATTTTGTATGATAATAGGGTAAATTCTAGCGCCGCGTATTTAACTGTACAATAACGTAGCCGAAGTCACGAACAATAGTTATTTAACAAATTTATTGATTAAATGTCAAAATTATTTATCAATCTGTGGTCACTCTCAAATTTCGTATTTACTTTCGTTATTCGCGATCTTGTAATCATGGTGGTGGATTAAAAAGACATATTACTTGTCGATTACTAAAGTATATCGCATTTGGCAACTTTGTCTAAATATTTTCTACAATAATAGGGTTATCTCTATTTGTAATTTACTAGAGACTATTAGCGAGTAACTGAAATACCACGTAACCGATGTTATGTTTATGTTTCTCGTTAAACAAAGCCATCGTAGATGGTCATTATCGGAAGTTTTTTTCTTCTGAGTCAGATAATAAAAGCAATATATTCCGATTGAAGCAAGAAGTCTAACATGCGTAAATTATATATTAAAGATAAAAAATTATTGTGTCTATGATTTTTCTAAAGGGGAATCAAGAAATATGTCCATAAGATTATTAGTAATATTTTAAACAATGAGTAAAAGATACTTAATTTTGTATCATGTGTTATCATGTGTAAAATTTCCTACTTGTTCATTTATTTTCTTATTAGAAACATTTAATTACCACAAACTAAAGATATAATACCTATTATTATTTTATTAATGTTATCTACATTGTATACTTAATATTAATATATAATTTTATTAATAATTTAATTTTTTATTATATTTAATACTTACAATATTTAATATTAAACCATTAAGATACTCCCACTGAAAACGAACATAATAAAATCGCATGATTGTTATGAAATTATGAATGACGAGTATAGAAAAAATATAATGGCTATTACATATGACTACACCATATAGAGTGCGTAAGCGAGCTGAAAAAGCAATATAGAAATAGGAAGAAAACGCTGCATAGGGGCGTTGTTCTACAAGGCCTTGTAGAATAACACATGTATATTCGTACAGTAAATATGTAACACCGATGAATGAGCTACATCAGCATATATGCCTGATTAGACAAAAATATAAGGAGCCTCTATGCAGTGTTTTCTTTCTATTTTTTATCGCATACTTGCACAAGTATATGACTCGTATAGTGTACTCTATCTTTATATCTCTACGTCTATGCATATAATCATATGACTATTTTCATCTATAGTGAATTATATACTGTTTTGTAAATATCGATTTTTATTTGAATCAAGCATGATTCAAAAGGTATCAATGTGTATCGTTCCATTTTTTGTACGGTTAAATCAATTTTACAATCGAATAGTAGACTATCGGGTGGTTATCCATACTGTTTAACGAGGTAGTTATGCGCATGAAACAGTAACAAATATACTTATATATTTTCTATAATTGCATAACCCTTTAGTTAATTAGATTACCGTATTTTGTAGAAAAACAAAACCATGTCAAAGATCTTCTGCACTTCGAAGGATATAGTAAAAAATGTACTAATCTGCTTTGGTCTTAAGATTATCAATGCTATCAAACATTAGAAATCTTAGAAATGTTACGACGAAACAGGTAAAATGCGTTCATTATGATGTAGTCGATATCAACGATGTACATTATATTTAACTAACATTCTCACAGAATATTAGAATCGTAAAATGATGCTTTATTATTTTTATATTATTAATATTCTTTTGTTTATTTTGAAAATTTTAATAAAACGTTTGTTTAACAAATTGTACTATATAGATTGAAGAATAAAGCGATTGCAATTGGTCTTCTGGTGCTGGCTGTTGTAATTTACAATGAATTTTCAGTGTATGATATACAAAAGTTAAAATGGTCAGTACGAGAGTGTTCAGAATGTGTCAAGGTGCTGCTCGTTGCTGATTCTCAGATATTAGGTCAAAAGAATGAAAATTATTTTGGCTCATGGATAGCACAATGGGATAGTGACAAGTACGAATAATGATTAATTTGTTTATCGAATCATGAGCCTTATACAAATTTGATGGTTCTTTTCAAATGTAAATATTGACCTGAATTTTGTTCCACAGTGTTTTATTTGCAGGTACTTGAAGAAAACATTTTCTAGAGCCTTAGACCACTCTAATCCTCATGTTGTTATATTTCTTGGGGATCTTATGGATGAAGGACATATTGCCAATGCAGAAAGTTTTAAGGATTACAAAAGGAGATTAGATTCTATCTTTGAAATGCCTGATCATATAATGGTATAATTACATATAAGTAATCAGGTGAATACCATTGTCCAAGATATATTTAAACATTTTTTTGTTTTACCAGAAAATTTATCTACCAGGAGATAATGATATTGGAGGTGAAGAGGATGTAGTTTCATCCAATATTTATAACAGATTTAATTTTGCATATAGTCAACCTGACACTTTAGTTTATAAGACAGTAACATTTTTTAAGGTAATGACAAGCATATATTAGTTTATAGGAGAATGTACATGTATATATATATGTAAATATATTTTGGATTATATTATATGTAGTAATATGCATATTTCTTGTTCTAGGTGAATAGGTTAACCCATACAATGCCAGAAGCACCAAAAGATGCCTTCCTTAATGATTATGCAGAAAGAAACACAACAAACGTAGTACTTAGTCATATGCCTTTATTATTTATGCCTGGTACCTTCGTCCAAAATGTATGTGATATTTGTTCATTTATTAGACAGTGATGATTTATTTTTAGTTCTTGTTAATAACTGCATTACGATATTAGGTACTGAAAGAATTGTCTCCCCAAATTATTTTTACTGCACATGAACATAAGGCCATGCATATCAGTTTAGATCCAGTAACAGATCAATTAAGTGACATTTGGGTTTTATCTCCTTATGAAACTCTAGTACATTCATTAAGAATGGACGTAGGTGATATTCACGAGTTGCAAATACCCACATGTTCATACAGAATGGGTACTCCTCATACGGGTTACGGACTTGTTTACATCGGTAGAGAAAATATAACATCGTGTTCATTTATGAAATTGACAGCTTTTTTTTCTTTTTAATTATATTTCTTCTTTTTCATTTTTAGATACACAAGAGAAAATGATAAATTTTACAATTTTATGGCTCCCAGGAAGATTTCCTCAATTATGGATTTACGTTTTCGTTGGAATATTTATTTTAGCTTTTAGCGTTTGCACGTGTATTTCTAGTTATTGTGTAAAGGGTCGTGCAGCATATAGTCGTATATCTTCAATATAAAGCAGCACATAATCAAAAAAACATAAAAAATACTTAAATATTTAAATTTAAATATATAAAAATACTTAAAGATTGAAAATCTGAAATATGATAACTTGACATCAGAGATGGGGTATAAAGATCCGTCCAATGTAAGTGATTCTGTTACTATCCATGTCAAGTTTTGAATGAAATGGTAATTTGATGTTTAACAAGGAAGATTTACTTATTATCAAATATCAATAACGTAATTCTTAAAATATGTTCCTAACATCTAAATATGGTTAACACTTAAAAACGAGCAACTTCATTCATGGTATGTTCATGGCTTACATAAACCAACTATTTGTTAAATTTAGTATTTAGGAATAGTATTTTAACACGATGCTATATTTATTTGTTTTTCGTTTAAATAAGTTCGTAGTTGTAAATTACAAGGCTGAAGTAATATATCTTCTGTATAGTGTGTAAATCCCTTTTTTACCCATTATAATCTATAGTACAATATCAAATGTAAACGTAAGTACATAAAGTGTCATCTATATTGAAAATTATATATATTAAAAATCATCTATATTGAAAGTCATCTATATTGAAAGTCATCTATATTGAAAGTCATCTATATTTCTCCTGTTTAAATAAATTAAAAGAGATTATGATTGCTGTATTAATATAGCAGAACATTGTTAATTCTTTTAGAAGAGATGGTTTATATTTGTGTGTGAAAATGTATATACGTTCGCCCAAAATATATAAATATAACATGTTAAAACTTGACTTATTATTTTTCATTTTAATAATATCCAACTATTATTTTATTCGTACAATTATGTAGATTATATAAAAGTAACGTAATATTAAGTTTTAATACTCGGAAAAGAATTTATTAATTGCGAAATGGTTAATTTAATGTTGTTATATTTCTTGAATCTCTAATCGATTTTCGAAAAATTTAGCCAGAACATTTGAAATAGAAACATAAAATAAACGTTCAGTCATTGGTCAACATCCACATAGATGTCAATTGTGAAGTAGTATTTATATAGATGTATACGTAAACGAGAAACATTACATACGTCAGTTCCTTTTTACGTTCTTTTGAAAAAAAAGCTATTTGATAAAAAAGTTAATAAATTAAACTTGTTTGTATACACAATTTTATTCAATAAGATGGGGAAACGAAAGGCCAGTGATAGTGCAGGAAGTCCGAATCAAGATTTATGTGATTTTCTTATGGGTAAATTATTTGTTATATATTCTGTATATATATATTTTATATAAATAAAAGAAAATAATAGAAGTAAAAGTTTCAATCATTTAATAAAGGCATACTTTTATTTGCCATTATTTGTAACCTTAGAGTTTGTATCATAAAAAATTTAGAATTGTTATTTAAATATTTATAACTATCACATACAATTAATAATTGATGTATAAATTTACATAATGAAATTACAGAGTTAGCAAATTATGAGCGGAATGTTAGTAACAATATTTACAAGTATAATGCCTATCGTAAAGCTGCAAGTACCTTAAGTACATTATCAGAGAGAGTAAAAAGCGGACAAGAAGCAAGAAAATTACCAGGAATTGGAGAAAAAATTGCTAAAAAAATTGACGAGTTTCTTAATACTGGAAAGTTACAAAAGTTGGAAGATGTATTTATTTTAATTCATTTTTTAATAACAAAATATACTTTAGTTTTTCTTTTTGTA